AAAAGACAGAGCAAGAAAGAGGACTACAGACCAATCTTCCTCATGAACATCATACCTCAAAACTCTAGAACACATAAAATCAAGCACACTCAAGAAGTATTGATGGCAGGAAATAATCAAACAAAGGATTGAAATGAATAAAACAGAAACAAAGAGGACAATACAAAGAATCAAGAAAAGAAAGAGTTGACTCTTCAAGAAAACCAACAACACAGGTAAACCATTATCCAAACTAACTAAAATTCAGAGAGAAAGGGGGAGGGAGAGAAAGAAGGAGGGAGAGAGGGAGGGAGGGAGGGAGAGAGAATACCCAAATAGCAGAATTAGAAACAAAAAAGGGACAAAACAATAAACACCAAGAAAATTCAAAGAATTTTTATCATACTTTAAAAATCTATACTCTCAAAATTGGAAGATCTTAATGAAGTGGGTAAGAATTTCAATAGATACCATTTGCCAAAATTAAATACAGATCAGATAAATAACTTAAATAGACCTATAGCCCTTATGGAAATGTGAAGCAGTTATTAAAAATCTCTCCCCGCCCCAAAAATGACAGGAGTTTTAGAACAGAGTTCTACTAGACTTGGAAATAAGAGTTAATGCCAATGTTTGTCAGAATAGAAATACACAATATAGAAAGAGAAGGAACATAGTCAAACACATTTTGTGAGATCAAAGTTACCCTGAGATGCAAAGCAAACAAAGCTCAACAAAGGAAGAGGGTTACAGTTCAATCTCCCTTGGGAAGATAGATAAAAAGGGGCTCAATAAAATATTTGCAAACTGAATCCATGAACACATTCAAAATATCATCCACCATGGTTAAGTCAGCTTCATCCCAGAGAATCAGGGATGGTTCAACAAATAAAATTAGTCAGTGTAATCCACTATACCAACAAACTGAAAGAAAAAAGCAAACAAACATGATTTCGTATTAGAGCCAAAAATCCTTGAACAAAAGCAAACACCCATTCATGATAAAAAGTCTTGGGGAGAATAAGTATACAAGGGACATAACTGAACATAATAAGAATAATATACAGAAAGCATCTAATTAAATGGAGAGAAACTCAATGTAATCCTACTAAAATCAGGAACAAGTCAAAGCTGTGCATTAACTTCATATATTTTCAATATACTTGTAAAGATTCAGGCATTATGCTGGCTTGCCCCTGTCACCTGGCAGAATGCACTCAGAATGCACTTGGTCAGACCCTGATTCCATGGCTTTGTAGTCTTCATGCAGGTACAAAGGACTCCTTTATAAAAAAAGACTCTTCCCAATTATGCTCTATTTTCTGCTGTTCTCTGGGGCAGACAGGACTTTTCCTGTCTGTCTCTTCTCTCTGTCTCTGTGTCTCTTTACCTTATTTTCTTACCTCCCCCTCAATAAAATTTTCAATGAGTCACATCTACAGGTTTCTGTTTCCCCATCTGCCTACCGTCCATTACCAGATTTGCTCCCAGCCCACTCATTCTTTATTCCTAACAATACTCCTTGAAATTCTAGCTAGAGCAATAGGATAACTCAAGGACATTATGAGGATACAAATTGGAAAGGAAATATTCAAAGTATCATTATTTGCAGATGATATGATAGCATACATTAGTGACCCAAATGTGTTTACCATGGAACATCTACAGCTGATGAACACCTTCAGCTAAGTGGCTTGATGAAAGTTTAACTCAAAAGGAAAAAAATAGGTAGGGCTCCTATATAAAGTGAATAAATGAAGTAAGGAGAAATCAAGCAAACAACAACATTAACAATAGCCACAACAATGTAAAATATCTTGGAGTAACCTTAACGAAGCTAGTAAAACACCTGTATCACAAAAAAATTTCAAGTGTTTGAAGAAAGTGATATTAGAAGATGGAAAAATCACCCATACTAATGGATTGGTAGGATTTACATACAAAAAACATGGCCACCCTACCAAAAACAATGTTTCGAATCAATACAATCTCTATAAAAATTTCAACATAATTCTTCACTGACCTTGAAAAGACAACTCAATATCAATGGAAAAACAGGAAACGCAGGATAGCAAAAGCAATAATGAACAATAGGAGAACATACAGAGGTATCATGATCCCTGATTTCAATCTGTGTCATAAGGCTGCATTAGAAAAAAAAAAACACAAGGTATTGACATTAAAATAGACAAGTGGATTGATGGAAAGCAATTGATGAACCAGTCATGAGTCCACCCTCTTCTCCGCTCATGATCTTTTATGAAGAATTTGGAAATATACACTGGAGAAAGAATGCATCTTCAACCAATGGTGCTTGTCTAACTAGAAGTTTGCGTGTAAAAGAATTTGAATGTATTCTTATCTATCACCCTGTGCAAGAGTCAAGTCCAAATGGATGGAAGACCTCAAAATTAATGCACATACACTGAACCTGCTAGCAGGGAAATTGGGGAATAACCTTGAATACATTGTCACAAAAAAACTTTCTAAACAGAACTCATACTACTGTCACTAATATCAGCAATTAATAAATGGGACCTGATGAAACTAGAAAGCTTCTATAAGGCAAAGGATACTGTCAAAAGACAGAATGGCATGCTACAAAATGGAAAAATATTTTCACCAACTCCAGATCTGAAAGGGGGCTAATATACACTATTCATAAATAACTCTAGAAAGTAGCCATAACCAACACAAATAATCAAGTTACAAAATAGAGTACAGATCTAAACAGAGAGGTCTCATTATATGAATCTCAAATGGTGAGAAAAACTTAAAGAAATGTTCAATATCATTATCCATAAGGAAATTGCAAAACAAAACTAGTTTAAAATTCCACTGTAAGAATGGCTAAAATCAATAGCACAAGTTAAAGTTCATGCCTGCAAAGATTTGAAGCAAAGGGAATACTCCTTCACTGCTGGTAGGAGTGGAAACTTGTACATTCACACTGGAAATCAATAGTATGGTCTTTCAGAAAATTGGGAATCATTCTCCATCAAGACCCGGCTATAACACTCTTGGGCATCTACCCCCACAACACTCCATCCTACCACAAATACACTAGCACAACTATGCTCCCCATGTCTTTATCCAAAATATCCAGATACTGGAAATAACCTAGATGTTCCTCAGAGACTGATAGATAGATAAAGAAAGTTGTTTATAAAAAAAAATGATATCATGAATTTTGCAGTCAAATGAATGGAACTAAAAAAAAATTCCCAAGTGACCAAACTCAGACTCAAAACCAAAAACATGATATATGCTGGGCAGTAGTGGTACATACCTTTAATCCCAACATTGGACAGGCAGAGGCATGAAGATCTTTATGAATTCAAGGCCAGCCAAGGCTACAAAGAGAAGCCCTGTCTTGAACAAAAACCTCAAACATGATATGTATTCACTTATAAGTGAAAATTATCTGTCAAATAAAGGAGAATCACTGTATAATTCACAGCCCAGCAATGCTAAGTAATAAGGGGGTCTTTGGGGGTGGGTGCATGGATTTCCCTGGGAAGGGGAAATAGAATGGAATTTGCAGGTAAACTGAGGGCAGAAGGTGATGAGAACAGGATGAATCAGGTGGGGGAGGGAGAGAATGAGAAATTAGTGAAATTGGTGGGTATTTGGGAGATAATATGGAAAACTAGTACAGTAGAAACTCCCAGGATTCTACGAGGGTTCTGTAGAAAGGACTCCCAGTAATGGATGATATGGAGCCTGAACCAGCTATCTTCTGTAACCAGGTAATGCATCAGGTGGTAGGGCTCAGGACACCATCCCAGCCATCAAACCTTCCACCTACAACCTGACCTGCCTGCAAGATGTGTTGGGGCAATTGTGGCTCAGAGCTTATGAGAGTAGCCAACCAGTGACTGGTCCAACTTAAAACCCAAGCCACTTGAGGGATCCCATGCTGGACACTGCCTGGATGGCCAGGAAATGGAAGTTGTATGGCCAAGAGACCTGGGGTAGAACCAAAGACGAATGAGAAAAATCATGCCATTGAATGGATTCTTAGTGATATTCTTCTACACTCAAAGATGGATGCCTAGCTCAACTGTTTTCAGAGAGGTTTCCTCTGGCAGTTGATGAGAACAAATACAGAAACCCACAGCCAAACATTGGGTGGAGCTTGTGGAACACCCCAAAGAAGATGGGGATGATAGAATCCAGAGAGGTCAAGGACACCAATAGAACATAACCCACAAAATCAACTGAACATGACACATAGGTGCTCACAGAGCCTACAGGGCCCATCATGGAACCTCCTTGAGTCTGCTCTAGGTTGCTTATGTTGTGGCTGTATAGCTGCATATTTTTGTGTGACTCATAACAGTAGGATTGGGAGTATGTCTGACTATGTTTCCTCCTGTTGGGATCATTTTCCTTCTTCTAGGTTGCCTTATGCAGTCTTGATACGGGGGTTTGTGCATAGTCTTATTGCATCTTTTTGTGCTGTGTTTGTTTGATATCCTGGTGAGGGCTGCTCTCTTCTGAAGGTGTATGAAGGTACAGTGGATCTGGTGGGGATAAACTGGGAGGGGTGGAAGAAGGGGGGACTGAAGTCAGGACTTACTATATGAGAGAACAATTATATTTTAAAAATAATTAAAAGGACAAATATTAGAAATCTACAAGTAGGGGGAAATTAACAAATTGCTAAAATATCAAAAAAATAAAAGGAAATTTCAAATATCTTTCTACATATAGGTGAAAAATAAATGAATAAATGCAAGATCGATGAAACAATAGCTAATGCTGGTGAGGATGTGGAGTAAAGTGCAGCAATCATTAATTTGCTGCTGGGAGTACATAGTTATGCAGTCAGTGTGAAAATCAGTGTGGCACTTCTGTAGGAAGCTGGTGCTAGGTATACTTCAAAAAATCAGCATTACCACTCTTGGGCATATACCCAAAGGCTGTACATCCTACTGCAAGATACAGTCAACCGGTGCTGTGCTGCCATTGTGGCTACAGAGAGCTGAGCAGAGAGAATGAGCGAGCTGGGAAACCACATGAATGCAGTGACCTGTGATGATGTGCACATCGCCCTCACTTGGGAGGAGTGGACTTTGCTGAATCCTTCTCAGAAGAATCTCTATGAAGATGTGATGCTGGAGACCTACAGGAGCCTCACTAGTATAGGATACAGTTGGGAAGACCATCATATTGAAGAATATTGTCAACATTCTAGAAGATATGAAAGGAAAGAAAGAAGTGAAACTGGAGAGAAACCTTCTGTATATGCTTGCTGTGTTAAAGCCTTCGTATACGACACCCATCTTCCAAGAGATCTACTTGCCTCTGGGACTAGACACCAGCCCATCTGGACTGACTTCGACATGCAAAAGAAGAAAGTTCATCACCCCAACATAGGAAGGAGGACTTCGGTACCAGAGACCTCCTGATTCACTCAGGATATATAGGTCCTAAGAGGCTATGGGTGTGACTTGAGGTCAGGGGTTGAGGAATCTAAGAATAGGCACCAGTCATCATATGCTTTTGTCTTTGTTTTGTTTTTGTTGTTGTTGTTTTATTTTTTGTTTTGTTTTGTTTTGAGATGTGGTTTCTCTGTGTAACCTTAGCTGTCATAGAACTCTCTCTGTAGACCAGGGTGGCCTTGAACTCACAGAGATACACCTGGCTTCTATCTCCCCGACTGAGTGCTGGGATTAAAGGTATGTACCACCATAGCTTGGGAGCACCAGTCATATGTTAATGGGAGGGCCAGTGAGTTCTTCCCAAGGGAATGAAAGGAGACCTTATGAAAATGCCTGATCCCTGGAATAGGACTGCTGGAGAGCAGACACTTAATGACACTGCCATTTCTCCCCTCTTAACTTGCCCAAAGGGCAAGGGGCTGACACCTCAGTCTTTTCTTATGATAAGGCACCTTTCTGATTTCTCTGTATTTATTAACTACACTCTTGCCTTTAATGAGCTCAGGCTCCCTCAGGTTCTGCATCTGAATTGTAGGCATTTCATCCTTGCCATCTAGTGTGCCTAGTAAACCTCTAACATTCCTGTCCTTGGTGTCCTTAGCAGGGCACAGTGGAATTCTTGGTACCATGGTGTCAGAGATTTTGTTTTTCCTCCAAAGAATTATTTTGTTTAGAGAGGCTAGACTACCATTATACACATTTTATCTCTACCAAAGCCCACACGAAATTTTGCAAAGAGAAAGGAACTGATATCGAGAACTATTAGGAATGAAAGTGAAAAGGTGCCAGACAAGTGTTCTCTGCAATGTTGAAATGCTGGACCATTGTCAAATGGCAATGGTCACCAAGTGGTCCATGTCATATCCCTTCCACTGTATACTTAATAAAGTGAAGAAATGAATGAATAAATAAATAGATGGATGAATATATAAATAAAAAAGATACACTCAACCATGCTCATTGCTGCTCTATTCATCATGGTCAAATTTGGAAACAGCCTACATGTCCACCAACAAAGGGATGGATAAAGAAAACATGGTATATTTATACCTGTTATACTATACATCCATTAAAATTTTGAAATCATGAAATTCACAGGTAATTGGCTGGAGCTATAAAAGTAAATCACACTGAGTGAAGTAACTCAGACCTAAAAGTACAAACATGGTATGCATTCCTTATATGTGGATGTTAGATATTAAGTATTTGGTAAGCAGGCTACAGTATACATAACCCCTGAAGTTAGGTGTAGAATAAGGGATTATGGGGGAGGGATGATATCCCTAGAAAGGGAAGAAGAATTTTTAGTTAAGGGTAGTTCAGGTGGGAGGACTGGAATGGGAGTATCAAATGGGGAAGAAAAGGAAAGAGGGAGGTGAGGTAGAGGATATACAGAGAAAACAGCTAAAACCAAAGTCCATTTGAGGGGGTTAAATGAAAACTGAATCAAGAAGAAGCTTACTAAAATAAATGGGATTAAAAGTGTGCATCAACATACCTGGCTACCTGTATGAAAGTGATCTTATGTAATTGCCGATTGACAGACAACTGGCATCTCTCATCACTAAATGAAACCTCCAGTTTTATGAACATGTTACTTCTAAATGAGTGGTTGCCTAAAGTGACCAAGTGGTAATCCACAGAGCATTGCCAAGGCCATTGAATGATACACCAGGTTAATCTTAAGGCCCTGTTGCTGAAGACAGCTTTTCCACAACTTACCAGACATGGAGAAGTTAACTTGGTGTCTACCTACAGTGTTCACTATATTGATGAGTGTTAATGCTATTGCAAGGTATTCTAAAGACTACTAAAGGAGATAGGAAAATAATGATTTGTATATAAACCTTTTGATCTACAATGATGACATGGACACAAGCTAAGCTTGCAATGATGTCATGAAGTTTGTGGAGCTAACAAACCAATATCTGATTTGATGAAAGGCCTACATCAAGAGACCCATTTATTCTACCACTAGAGTGGTGAACCTGAGACCATATAGGCCAGAGACTTAGAGGAAATTAAAAAGCTACCCTTCTGCTAAAGAAATGTAGCAACAAAATGGCACATGATGGGGGAAGTACTTTTGTGTATGTTTATCTTTTTCATTGTTAAATAAAATACTGCTTGGCCAATGACTAGGATTCCTCATCTGTTAGCTCAGTCTTAACTATTATAAATCTATATATGTTATAAGACTTATCTTATCGGATGCCTTATTGGCGTCCCTCCTTGTCGGTGGATCACATCCTGCCGCTGGAGGAGGAAGGGGAAAAAGGGGCGCTTCCTGTTTCTCCTTTGCTTAAATATGAGTCTCCTTGCTATCTCACTTCCTGCCTCACTCAGCACTTCTCTACTACATTTCCCAGAATCCTCTTTGACTCCTAGTCCCATCTACTTGCTGTCTCATTGGCCAAACAGTATTTTATTTAACAATGAAAAAGATAAACATACACAAAGTACTTCCCCCATCATCTCCTCTTTTCTGTCTAAATAAAAAGGATAACTTATCTTTTATAATAACTGAAGAAAACTATAACCATTACTATCTGTCTTCAACTCTATCAAAGACCACAGAAGGATAATATATGAACTCTAGAATTGACAGAGACTTCTTGCTACCTGCATAGTCACCCAAAGTTCCTCTGTAACGTTGGGGCATCCATCTTCAGCCCATAGGCCATAGTGTGTCTGGCACACTTCTCCATTTCAACAGGAACCCTTCAGTACTGTCTTGTTTTGTAAGTT